GCACCCAGTGTAAGTCTTGCGAGAGCCGCGGGGTCATAGTGCGGCTCTCGCGAGACTTACAGTGTGAGCTGAGAGAAGAGCTGACCGGACCGGCGCGGAGGAGGAGAGAGATGACAGGAGCTGCAGGAGAGGTAAGTAACAGCTCTGCCAGCCCTCCTCCTCCCCCCACTGAACTGCCAATGCCACTGGACCACCAGGGAAGGAGAGCCCCCCTCCCTGCCATGTATCAAGCAGGGAGGGGGGACAACAAAATAAAGTACATTAATAATACATAAATATAAATAATAATAAAAATAATAATAATAATAAAAATAATATAACAAAAAAATTCAAATAATATTAATTAATAATATATAAATATAAATAATAATTAAAAAATAATTTAAAAAAATAATATAATCCAAAAAATTTAAATAATAAATAATATAATTTTTTTTTTATATATAAAAATGCCCACCCCCCACCAAGGCTCTGCAACACAAACACACACTGCATCACACACACACACACACACTGCACTCATACACACACACTGCATTCATACACACACACTGCACTCATATATACACTGCATTTATACACACACTGCGCACTCATACACACACTGCGCACTCATACACACACACTGCATTCATCATATACACACACTGTAAATAAATATTCAATTAATATAATTTTTTTAGGATCTAATTTTATTTAGAAATTTACCAGCAGCTGCTGCATTTCCCACCCTAGTCTTATACTCGAGTCAATAAGTTTTCCCAGTTTTTTGGGGTAAAATTAGGGGCCTCGGCTTATATTCGGGTCGGCTTATACTCGAGTATATACGGTAGTTAAGACAAGATGTGTAAATGAAATTGTAACAGTACAGAACAACGTGATGGAACCTACAAAATCCGCGAAGGTATGGCGATGCCAGAAAAAAAAAAAAAGTTTGATGTTGTGATTGTACACTAAAGATTGTCTTCCTCAATTATTGTTGCTATATCCTATATTGTAACCTCCCTGTCCTTGGGAACATGTACACAAAAGGATAATGAACATTATTACCTGTGGAATTGTCCCCCCCCCCTTTCCTTCTGTACCCTATATAAGAAAATGTTCAATAAAAAGATGATTGAAAAAAAATAAAAATAAAGATCCTAACTGACTTGCAGTAGTACAGTGTCTTAGATGCGGCATGGCATGCTGATCAGTCGGCACAATGAGTAGCCAGGACATATTGCTTAGTAACAGTTGCTGGAAGTGAGGTTCGGTTATGCCGTTGCCATGGTAACCTGGTCAGTCTGTCTCGCTCTTAATAGCGTCATCACTATGGCAACTCAGCAAGCTAATTAGACGCCATAGGGCAAAAGAGATGAATAGTAGTAAATAGGCAGAAAATACATCCACAGGTTAGGCTTAATAGTGAGATATAGTAAATGCCCTACAACTGTCTGCTCAAATTAGAATAGAGTGACAATAAAGGACTATGATTCATGTTGACAAATAAAAATAAACAAATCTAAAAGTAAAAAAATTGAACCACTTCTGGCACCACTTAGAATATAAGGACACCAATTCCCCCCAGTAACTGGACGAGACACAGCTCTGGGAGTACAACACGATTTTATTGTGCCACACGCGGCTCTTATGCATAACCCCTTGCAGGGGGTCTTCCACACAAACACACAGGGGTTTCTATCCCAGGATCCTCTGTACCTGGAAGCCCGGGTGTGGAAAAAGGGGCCTAACCCTTTGTCTTACAGGCACAGAAAGCCCGCCAAACTAGCCAGTGCCCCAAAAGTGTCCCCACCAACCACACTATGCATTTCCCCTCTGCTCTCTGTTCGTGAGGCTTCTGTGTGAACCCCTAGAAAGGGAAGTGTCTCATTTCGGGATACAAATGCTCCCCCTGGTTGGCATTCCTCAATACGAATGACGGCCACCCAGGGGAGCACTCATTAATTACTTCCCTTGCGGTTTCGCACTTATGTTGCTGGTATGAACGTTCTAATTAATTGGTGTGAACATTCTAATGGGGTACCGGGGTGGTCCCTGTTCGTTAGACAAATGGGTTCCATTCGTATGGACACTCTCGAACAAGGCACAGCACATAAAATAAAGGGGAAAACACAATACACAGGTAACACATAAATATAAGCAGTGGTTCTGCTACAATAAGTAAGAATTAGGAATAATATAAGAATAATAATTAAAAAAATGATTAATGAAAAATATTAGAAAATGAAAAATAATAGTAAAAAATTAATTATAAAAGTAAAGTCTGAAGAAAAATAAAGAATGCAGAATGAAAAATAGGAAATAAAAAATAAAAATAAATAAAATCTAAAAAATATATAAAGGAATGACAATTATTTGCTATTTTGTAATTTTTGTGGATGCGCACCGGGCAAGAAAATATTATTTGTTGGAAGGTGCAGGATTGTTGGATTACTATATATATATATACATATATATATATATATATATATATATAGTAATCCTGATGAAAGTCCCAGTCGTGGACTGAAACGTCGGTCCTCTTTTAAGATGCAATTCCATTAAAAACTACAACTTTTAACCTCTGAAAAAAATGTGAGTGCTGGTCATCTTTCTGTTTTATATATATATATATATATATATATATAAAAAAAAATCCATGTAAGGGGTGATATAGATTCGCCTGAGAAAGGCATCCAGTAGTGTGCTAAAACATCTGGGCTTTTGTGACTTGTGTCCTGCCCTGGTAGGCTATTGATAATAACAGTATTGCTTTGTTGTATATATTCTAACCTTTTTCACTGTGACTTTTGTTTTTAATTTATTGTATGTTCCTTATCTTGTATTTGTGTTAATAATGCATTGACTATATCTTCACTTCAGTAGTTGTAGAGGGCATCCTGGTTTTGTGTTTATAATGTTGTTTATGACACACAAGGGAGTGTCTACCTTGCTGTGCACTCTGCTGTTAGAGTTTAAAGTGATAGTATATACCCTCCTATGCAAAATTGTTGTTCTAACCTTATTCCAAATGTCACACATCGGCCACTACCTCGTAGCCACTTCTTCCTCCCCCCGCTAAACGGAACTACGTATAAGCCTGTGTTATGGATCAAATCAAGTGTTTGATTATTTGAATATCTGCCCCTGTCCAAATTGTCAATATAAATGCGTGCACGCTTCCTAAAGTAATTCACACCAGACACAAGTTTTCAGGTTGATGAAAAACTCAGGAATGTTTAATCAGGGGTGCGGGGAGCCCCTTATAAAGCAGAAATATGTCATACGCAGAAAGCAAGATAACAGAGAAAATACATCAACAATTGGTTATGTGTTAAGGGGTGTCACAGATTCTCGAGAGGAAGACGAAGAAAAAAAGCAGTAAAAAAGGAGGTTAGATGTTGTTTGAGTGCTTTTACAGGCGGTCAATGAACACACCCCATGGAGCAAATGCCCACGGATGCTGAATCAGGGGTTGACTTCAACCTAGGGGTGGTCACTAAAATAGAAGTTGTCAAGTATTTGTTTATGGTAAATAGGTATTTCCCAAAGTTCCCCAGCTTACATGTATTATGATCAGTGAACACATGCCTGACATATTGGACACCAAGACATAAGCTCCTTCCTCCAATCACTGATTCTGGCCCACCCCTCAACTATGTGTATCTTTCTTCTTCCCCAAGATACATGCAAAAAATATTTATGTATTTATTAGATGGAGGGAAGGATACTTTATCAAACTTATGAGCCATACACATAATACACACTGCTAGCAAGCGTTCATGCCCAGCTTTTGGGGAGATAATTCGGTTAGCGTGGACTCAGGGAATCCAGAAACTTTAGGCAAATTTTGGTAACAATTTACTGTGCTCAGGGTCTAGCACAACATGCTGGCCTTTTTCATTTGACTTGTTGTTTCTACCTTATGTTTTCATAGGAGTAAATAATTATGGCCAATAAGTGTTGCTAGCTTTTAGCATAGAGGTCAACCGCTTATATTAAATTGCTGTAAAAAATTGTTATTGGGTGTTTTTTTTTATTTTTTTATAACTTTATTTTTCTATGGCAAGGGTTACAGGCTTAAGCATCCGATTGGATACTTATGCAGAAGCTCCAAGTGGTCTGCTACAGACATAATAGTCACTTTCAAGGTATACCAAAGACGGTGATGTTAGTATGCCCTACCACTGTTCCACTTAGCAGTCATATTGTACAAATGCAATACCATGTCCCTGTTTATGCAGCCGAGTACATGCCGCCAAAACTTTTTTATTTTCTTTCCCTCCCTCCCTCCCTCCTTCCCTTCCCCCTCCTCTCTCCTCCTCCTCCCGAAATAATAACTTAACAATGTAAAGAACTGAACAAACTAATAGAATAGAAAAAAGGAACGATGTCTCAGCTGTCTCTGGAAAGTTAGTAGAGGTTGGCTTGTTGTACAGAGGAGTGGAAGCACCTGCTCCTCCCCGATTCCCTGCACCTGCCCCAACAACCCCAGGTGAGAGTGCAACGGCCATGCCCTACCATCGCCTCCCAGGGTGCCCACATCCTCTCAAAGGATTTGGTAGTGTTGTATACTACTGCGGTGAGCTTATCCATTAAATAATTATCGTGAAGACGATATCTTTTAAGTCAGCTCCATTTGCTGCCTCGCAAAGTTGGGTTCTTTCAATTACATTGTTCATAACATTAGTTAATGTGTGAGGCTCTAGTGATTGAAGTTCTGCGTTGATATTCTCCTTGAGCTACTCAAGGTTTGTTCAGCTATAACCACAGGAAGTAATCGGGAGTAGGAAAGTTGGGTAAACGTGATGGACAATTAATTTTGGAGTTTCTTAAAATTATCCACTGGTGTCTTAGTTTAGAAAATAAAATTCCACATTTTTTCTCGTTGTTCCTTTGTGAAATTACCCATGACAAATCTCCCAAGACTCACTTATAATATGTACCTGCAACAACAACAAAAACGGACTACTAACAAATATCTTACTGTGTTTTAACCCACCTTGTGCATTGTGACAACTTTTCAATAACTATTCATGCAGTTTTAAATGTACAATTTCTTTTTGTGACTTCTTTTGAATATTACAGCTCCATACTCAATGTATAATTGGAATCAGCCGCACCTATATGCTGTATATTTGTTACCATAGAAATGGGAGTAGTTACCTGTGAATTAGACACAGACTTTTATAATTATAAAGCCATTTGCAAGGCATTTATACTCTATGTTAAGTTTGCATGAAAAATGCTGGTTAGTCCAAAAAGTCACATTTATTTTATTGTATCCTGTGAGCACTAATAAATTTGACTATTGAGCACCTACGTTGTGAAGCCTGTGGATTGTAATTTGATTCTACTGTGGGGGACCGCAGATGCCTCTGTCACCGAGCTCCTGCCATGGTACTGGTGATCCAAGACCAGTTATTGCCTAGAGTACCACACCACATTATTTATTGGAACTAATGTGTGCCTGTAACTGTCAGTATGTGTATCTGTGTGCCAGTGTGGGTCTCTATAAGTTTCTGTGTGTATATGTACACAAGTATCAGAAGCTGTACATGATTGTGTGTATCAGCGTGTATATACACATGCCTAGGTCAGCGTGTGCTGCCCTCCTCCCCCACTCCCAAAGAGGCAACATTTTAAATGTTTTTCTGTCCTACCAAATTTTTCGTTTTTATTTCCATTACTTAATATGCTGCCTATGTATACTGAAACAAACAATACATTTACCCATTACTTTCCAGGACACCCACAATAATAATTGATTGGCAGTGAGGAGCTTAATTAAAATTAATATAAACTTGGAAAACAGAGGATCACATGCGTAAAGAAGACTAACTCAAGTTGTAAGTAATTTTAATTGTTTTATTCACTGATATCAATTCCAGAAAAGTGACAGTCCCTCTTGAATATTTTTTTTAATTAGATATGCATGCAGAGTTAAAAACCGCATACTGTTTTTGTCTGGGGAATAACCAGAGACGTGGTTAGCATAGTTCTGAAATATTAATATGTATGTAAAAATCAGTAATTTTGGACATTTACATTTTCTGCATATAAACTTAAATTGTGTGCATGGGCAGTTCCGAAACACACCCCTTATTTTAAATTGCATTTATTGTAACAAATTTATTAAAATGTATCCATTAGGCAGGGGCAACAGTGAAATCACTGAATGCTTTAACATCCGAGAATGCATTAGAAGAGAAATTCACCAGGAGACACCTCCGACCGGGTCTGTATGGAATGATTTCAAGCTCTGTTATGGACCTCTGGTTGGGTTTCAGGGTTGATACACTGAAAAAAAAGTACAATAGTGGGTATATATTAAAGAGATAAAAGTGAACCTATCATTTAAAAATGACAATTACCTAAAAATCAACCAATACACATTGAATAAAACATATATGACAAAGATACATCATGTGAATTTTCGAGTTGTACTCACCTTATCGCCATTCCAGAATCGCCATCTTAGAGATTTGTCGGTGTTACTCTATTGTAACACCCACCTTTGGTCCATCCACAGCTCCTGCCACAGTCTTCTTTCATTTGCTCTGCTTGGGATTAATTACCCAAGCAGGACAAACGTCCTCATTTTCTAAATGTATTTGGTTTCCACAAAAGATCTTGTGAATCCCATATAAAAATCCCATGAATTTTCCATATACATCAATTGTTTAATGGAACTCACACAATGTAAGAGGGTATGGCCATCACAAAATATTTAGAGCAATTTAATATCTCAACACATATGGAATTCCCTGTACACCCCAAGTCATACCGACAAACCATTTATGTCCATCAACCCCTCCACACCTGGAATATCTTAATTCACACAATGAATACCTTTTAACCCTTCACCCATCTAACCTCACCCATGACTTGTACAGCTCAATTCTCCATATCTTAAAAACACAGCATCTTTTTCTAATAATTCTCTCCCTTCTATTTTTCACTTTCTCCCTCATTTCTCTCATTATTAAAATCTCTCTATCCTTCTACATACCTGTCACTGCTGACACCATCTTCATTGCTCCCTCTCGACTCTCCTCATCTCTGTATTCATCACATGCACTTTACTCCTACATTTCCTGCCTTTCTCCACAAACCCCTCCTAAATCCTCTAAATACAAGCTCTCACCCCAAACATTTAAATCTTACTCCTATCTTCTCTTCTTTCCATCCTACTGCTCCTGACCGCTCTCCAAACCCTGTTCCTTCCTCTACTAACACACCTTGTACTAACACCAGAAACCACAACAATCTCATATCCATTCCATGTAACTCTCACTATAATCCCTCCTTTAAAGCTGCCCTCTGGAATACACGCTATGTGTGCAGCACCATTAAATCAACTTCCATCCATGACCTATTTATCTCACACTCCCTAAACCGACTTGCACTAACAGAAACATGGCTCTCTCCCTATGATACTGCTACCCCTGCTTCACTATCCTTTGGTGGTTTTCACTTTACCCATAACCCAAGACAGGCTGACAGTAAAGGTGGTGGTGTAGGATTTCTACTTTCACCCCACTGCTCCTTTAAACCTCTGCCAACCACCCTTAGCCTATCTATCTCCACCTTTAAAATTCACTCAATTTGTCTATTCAAGCCCATCTCTGTGAATATAGCTGTTATCTATTGCCCCCTGGTTCCCCTTGTCTGTTCCTTGACCATTTTTCTGCTTGGCTTCCCTACTTCCTTTCAAGTAATATCCCTTCCCTAATTCTCAGGGATTTCACCATTACCATTAAACCACCCTTGATCTAGTAGCTTCCAAACTCCTCTCTATCACAGTGGGTAATACCCCCACACTTGTAGCTGGCAATACCCTTCGAATGCATGCACTATCTCTAAACTACACAAAACTCCATTTTCTCTCTAAGATAATAACCTCTTATCATTTGTTCTTGAGAAACCCCTCACCCAACAGCCTCACCCTAACCCTCCTCCACTTAGAAGGAACCTGAATTATCTTGACCTCCAGCAATTATTTGCTGATCTCCATTCCAAACTCTCATCCATCCGTACCTTCTCCTGTGTATCTCTGGCTATCTCCTCATATAATGGCACCCTCACCTCTGTTATGGGCAAATGCAAATATTACAAATTTTAGAATGAAATGTTGTATTTCTTAAACTGTGTACTTTGTCTTTAAGAGATATTGCAAACTGACAAGGTGTTAGAAATGGAACAGTTTGTTTTTCATAACTGTTTCTTTAAGCAATAACCTCAGTGCATAATATGTTTGCACCATTTTGCCGCGGGCAAATTACAATAACAATAATGCATAAACAAGCTTCAAGGCTATGCCACGACTCTTTCAGTACGTAATATACTGTGGTAACCTTAAGTAGATAAGGATGTCCAGACTTTAAGATGCCATCTTTAACTAAGTCAGGAAAATTTCCATGACGTATACACCCTTTAGTTATGGCTTTGTATGTTTGCCAAGTTAAGGGAGGTCCTAAAATGAATAAAGTAAAAGAAGTGTTACTTTTACATAAATGAACTACGGTAACCCTAAAATGGAGACACCTAAGGTATAAATAGGTGTACTCTTAAATGTTAAGACACAGAGGAGAGACTTGGAAACAGACGCTGCTCCATCTTAAAATGACAGCCAGGCTGACATGATGACATGTTCAGAAGGGTATGTTAACCTATTAATGATATTTGCAAGCATTTAATTTAATCTTATAAACTCTGCTATAATGGATTTTATATGTCTATATTTATATTTTTATATAATAATCACAATCCCAGGTGTCTCTTTAATACCTTTAACTCTCTCCTTTGCCCACCTCAAGCCACCCTCCCAAACTAACCTTTCAGCAAATAGCCTTGCATGCTACTTTACTGATAAGATTGAACAGCTAAGGAAAGAATTCTCCCCCTTTGCTCCTTTCTCTCGCAACCACACCTGTACTGTATGTTCCCTACCTTTTCCCCAGCTACAGAACAGGAGGTGGCTGCACTTCTCCTCTCCTCTTGTCCCACCACCTGTCGGCTTGATCCAGTACCTTATGAGATCTCTCTCCCCTTGTTTTGTGCCATCCTTAACACACATCCTAAACTGCTCTCTTTCCTCCGGTGTTGTCCTTACTCCCCTTAAGCATGCTACTGTCGTACCCATCCTAAAAAAGCCATCCTTAGACCCGTCTTCCCCTTCCAACTATCGTTCCATTTCCCTGCTTTCTTTTTCCTCAAAGCTTTTAGAAAGATCTGTCTTTACTCATATGATTCACTATCTAAATTCCAACTCCCTCCTCAATCCTCTTCAATCTGTCTTTCATCCTGCTCTTATTAAAATTACAAATGACCTAATATCACAGCTAAATCCAAAGCCCACTACTCCGTACTAATTCTTCTTGACCTCTCTGCCACCTTTGACACTGTTGATCATGTCCTCCTTCTCCAAACTCATCCATCCCTTGGTCTCTGTGACACTGTCCTCTCGTGGTTCTCCTCCTATCTTTCCCAACGTTCGTTCAGTGTCTCCTTTAGCAAGGACACTTCTTCCCCTGTTCCTGTCTCGGTTGGAGTCCCCCAAGGATCTGTTCTTGGTCTCCTTCTGAACTCTCTTTATACTGCCTCTATTGGCAAACTCATTAACTCCTTTGGATTCCGCTACATCTGTATGCCGATGACACCCAGATATATCTCTTCTCCTCTGATCTCTCCCCCGTGGTCCTACAACGTGTCACTGCTTGCCTTTCTTCAATCTCTGTTTGGATGTCCTCCTGCTTTCTGAAACTTAATCTTTCTAAAACTGAGCTTCTTATTTCCCCCCCTCATAATGTTGATCCTCCTCCTTTGCTTTCCCTGCAAGTTGATAGTACTTGCATCAGTCCATCCTTGCAAGCTGATTGTCTTGGTGTTATCTTTGATCCTGGCCTCACCTTTGCGCTTCATATCCAGAATGTTGCTAAAACCTGTCAATTCCACCTTAAAAACATCGCCCACATCAGCCCCTTTCTAACACAAGATGCTGCCAAGGAGCTTGTTCATGCTCTGGTAATCTCTCGCATGGATTACTATAATTCTCTCCTAGTTGGTCTCCCAGAAGCCGAACTGCCCCGCTACAATTAGTGATAAGTGCTGCCGCCAGGCTGATCTTTCTCACCCATCGCTTCTCCCATACCTCACCCCTCTGACCGGTGACTTTCTCCTGTCCACTGCTCTCACCCTTACTGCTAACCCGCGCTTGCAGGACTTCTCGTGGGCGGCTCCCTTCCTTTGTAACAGCCTGCCCCATCACACTCTCCCCTAGTCTTCAATTGTTTAAAAAGTCCCTCAAAACACATCTGTTCAGAAATGCTTATGTACTCAGGGTAACTTATCCATACCCTGTTGCCACACTCTTTTAGCTACTTATCGCCTTTATAGCTCCAGATATCTGGTATCTGGAAAGTAGAAAGTAGTGTCTGTATGGGAGAGAAAAGTAGACTGTAGGTACCAATGGTAGCAGTTGAAATATATCTTCATTTTAATATTGGTGATATGGCCTGTCCAGTAGAGAATTGCATGTTTCCTTTTGTGCAAGTCTTGTTTAATCAGAGAAATCTGAGAAGTGTAATTATTTTTAGAATCATTAATTAATATTAAAGGAAGAGATTGCAACTTGGGTATTAAAGTAAGAAATTAAATACATACAATACTCCAGGAGGCATTGGCTTGATCGTTTATTGCAAACTAAAAGGTTATTTCACTTTCTATAGAGGTTACTTTTCCGAAGAAAATGACCAAGTAATCTTGTTGAATATTTTTTATATGTATTCATTGCTGGATGAACCATTAGGACCTAACAGCCATTGACAAATGAAAAATGTAGCCCGAGTGCGTGTGCCTTGGACCCCTCAGGCTTGGGCAAGTTGAATAAGACTTCAAATTTAGTAAACTTGGCCATACATTCAACTAGAACTATAACAACACTTACACATGAGCTATATGATAAAAAAAGATAAAATACAAATTTTTTAATTAAACAAAAAAAACCTCAAAGATCCTCATTATAAAGAAAAAAAATATATATATAAAAAAAAAAAAAACTTGGATCTTGGAGAACCATAGTGAGTTATCATCCTCCAGATGTAGATTACTCTGCCTACAGCAAAGAAATTCCCACACACCTAAAGCAATTTAGCTTGCTGAAATGCTTTATGTGTGAAACGTGTGTCCTCTTTTTTTTTTTTTTTTCAACACATTTCAACAGAAATTGGCACTTTTATAAATTATCCTTGTTACATCCCTCTGGCTGTCAATCAGACAACCAGTCCTATTTATTTCCTGGCGTATTTAGCTCAGTGGAGCTTGACTTAAGAGGCAGTCAAATGCCCAGAGCACCAGCCTTGCAAATACTTCTCATTGAGCTGCATTTGGAAGTCTGTGATTGGACAGCCACAGAAAGTCTGGGCAGGGTTAGAAGTAAAGGTCTTGCAAAAGCTTTAAACAAGTGATTTGCAACTTCTGCAAGCTATTTTTTAGATATACACCCAATGAAAAAGATGCACAATTAAATGCATGCATGTTTTCATTAAAGTATATCTACTACATTGTAAAAAAAATAAAAAATAAAAGTTAATTGGAGTATTTCTTTAATAGGATAATATGTTGCATAACTGAGATCATGATAGCAAAAGAATAAAATGATGTACATTTGAGTCTGTATATTGTTGGGTTTTGCCAACAGAGGACTCATGCAAACTGAAATTACAAGCGGGGTTATGCAGGGTTATTTACTAACATGTGAATAAATGGGAATTCAAAAGTGAAACTTTTCTGGGGAAATAGATACTTACGGAAATGAAATTAGATTTTTCAATAAGCCACTGCCTTCGATCGCAAGAATACTGTCCGTGACGACTTCCCCAATTGGGTTGGAAAATATGATAGTAACCTTCAAAGGCTTGTTTTGGATTGGATTTGAAGAAATCTAGAAACATTTGAAGGGGAAACATTGAAGCTTGAGCATTTGTTGGGGTGGTTTATGTATGGATCAGAGATGCATCAACTACACAATCCCATCGTCTCCATCCCCCCTTCTCAGATTATTGAGAATCACAGGAAAGTCAGGCACATGTGTAAATGTACACTCAAGGCTACAGCACAGAGGTTTCAATTAGAAGCTTTTGCTTAGAGTATTCTGTAACTTTGTTCTGGGAAAACGTAGGGGCTTAAAAGGCTGCAGACAAGAGATCTGCAGCTTCTGAATAATTTTTTTTTTAGATAGAAATAAGTGCATATTTTCATTGTGGGTTTATCTAGTAAATAGTTAAAACAATACTGTACTTTTATTTCAGTGGAGTATTCCTTTTAATAGAACAAACGGCTAGTAAAATAAAAGTCTAAACTTGTAACTCTTAAAAAAAATAAATGTAATGGTTTTACAATATAAAAAAATCCTTGTTGACCATTTATGGGCTGGCTTAGAATGTCTGCACCTTTCTTACCTTTATTAGCAATGGTGGGTTCTTCAATACTGCCACTGTATCAATAATCAGATTACCCCCTTTATCATCTTCACACACTGCCACCAGAAGAATCATGTTATCAGAAGTGATAGCACTGCTGTATTGGGAATATGTTATTGTAAATTGTATCTTCTTCTCTGGAAAGCAAGAAGCAATGCAAAGTTGGTAAAAGCGTTTAAGAAATTCAGATACCTTTCTTCATATTTTTCCAAAAGTATAACCAACAAGGACAGCATTACATCTATAAAATGAAAGACTCTATTGTATAGATACACTGAGCAACCACAACATTAAAACCACCTGCCCAATATTGTGTAGGCCCCCCTCCACGCTGCCAAGGCAGTTCTGATGTGTTGAGGCATAGACTCCACAAGACCCTTGTACATGTCCTGTGGTATCTGGCACCAAGACATTAGCAGCAGATCCTTTAAGTCCTACAAGTTGCGAAGTGGATTGGATTTGTTGTTCCCACACATCCCACAGATGCTCAAGCGGATTTAAATCTGGAGAATTTGGATTCTAAGGCACAACCTTGACTTCTTTGTCATGTACCTCAAACCACTCCTGAACAATTGTTGCAGTGTGGCAAGGGGCATTATCCTGCTGAAAGAGGTCATTGCTATCAGGGAACACCATTGCTTTGACTTGGTGTACGTGGTCTGCTACAATCTCTACGTAGATGGTACATATCAAAGTAAAATCCACATGAATGCCAAAAACCCAAGCTTTCCCCGGAAGAACATTGTCCAGAGCATAACACTGCCTCCGCTGGCCCCACTTCTTCCCATAGCGCATACTGCTGCCATCTCTTCCCCAGGTAAATGGCACACACGCACCTGACCACCCCCTGACCTAAAAGAAAATGTGATTCATCAGATCAGGTAACCTTCTTTCATTGCTCCATGGTCCAGTTCTGATGCTCATGTCCCACTTATCACAGATACAGATTTGGTAAATATGGGAATACGTAAGCATAATTTGACAACTCTAGCAAGTGATCATTTCCCTTTAAACAGCTAAACTGAGGACAGACCATGTTAAAACCCAATAACCCAATTACACCTTAACTTTGCATTACCTTCATTAGGTTGCAGACTTAGAGATTGTTCTTCTCTTTGGATTTCTTTCACTGGTGCCCTTGTATAAATGATGGCCGTGGCAGTTATGTCGACTTTAATAACCTTTGGTTGAGGTCCAGTGTTTTTTAGTGTAATGGTGACCGCGAGGTCTTCTCCAACTTGTGTTTGTTCTTTCAAGCTGAAACTGCCAACATAATCTGGTTTTGGTGCAGGTGCTTCCATACGTTCGGAAACTGCAGCATTGCTTGCAAATGCAGCCATGCGTCCTGATGCTGCACTTCGTGACGCAACTCTAAGTGCTGGTCCTGATAATTTTCTCTGAGCCTTCTCAAATATTTCTCTCTCTTTTGCAGTGCCTGAATAAAAAAACAACATATAATTATGAATTTTACATTTTACACTGTACACAGGTGTTGACTGTAAAAAGGGCATTCTATTTCCATACACATTTACACATCTCCCCACATTTCAAACAGATAAAGAGGGACAGATGTATCTTATTTACACATACTTATTTCTAAATAAGCATTTATTTCATTTTTAAGACATATTACTGGGAGTTTTATTGCCGTGGAGCTCTATTGTACACTCAGATACAGCAACAATATGGAACTCCTAGAAAAGAGGGACATTAGGATACATAAAAAAGGACAGAGGGATTTGGCACTAAATAGACACTGGCAGTTCTAAATAGGGACACTTGGGAGGTATGCATATAATTTGGACAGGCATGATGAGTTGGTGCATGGAAGGCAACGATTGGAGAAGGCAGATGGGAGTCCAATAGACAGTGAAGGATTAGGTCGTGGAAGATATATGAGAAGAGGAGCAAAAACAAAAGGTAGAAGAGTTCCATGGGACATTTCTGGCAGAAGAGGGTAGGGCAATGGAACAATTATAAGATTATAGACCAAGAAAAAGATTGGCAGAGAGAAAAAGAAAGATCGGAAGGGAAAGGAGAACAAACAGATTGATGATTTTAAATATGCTTGCTGTCTTTTTTTATATGCATGTGGAAATATTTTTTATATAAAATCGCTATGGGATCCATTTATTAAAAAATATTTGCATTAACAATCAAATTGTATGCTAAAATAACAGTTTTGTATAAGATCTCCACTTTTGCTCAGATGGAAAAAAATTCAACTTGTCCATTTGACTTAAAGAAAGCAAATTATGTTTTGAGCTCAACAAAGTGTTTTAATTAGCAAGCAAACCTCCTTAATTTTTGGGGCACATAATACGGAAAGTATGTGCGTGTATATGTATTACTGACATTGGAGGTCTTGCATAAAATCACAGATGCAAAGTCTTAATGCAGGGGAGTGCTAATGTTTTCTTAGTAAAAATCCTAGCACAAGCCAGATAAATATATATAATGCACTGCTGACCAACCTTTCCCAGAAACAAACTTTTTTTGTTTGCATTCCTTTCATACACCTGCACAAATCAAGATTTAAAGGGCTATTCAATAAACTCTGAATTTTAGCAAATTAAATCCAAGTTGTAAAAGTGAGGTTAAAATAAGCAAGCAGTGAATAGAGCAGTGTTGGATGATTTATTTTCCCCTCCAGATCAGGTATTTTTGTATTTTTATTTAATTCACTAATATTCTTAAAGGGAATAACCCTGCTAGTTACAAAACGCACTTACTCTTTACCAATTTGCTTAGGTAAAAATATAAAGACATTGAAAATTGCATAAAATTCCTTTTAGATGCAGACCGTTCGTTAACTTGGGAGAAATTGACCAACACCTACTATTTATTAAAATAGAACTGTTAAAGCAACACTCTTTTAGAATGTTCTGCATAGTTACCTTCAGAGTATTTGTAGTCGTTTGTTACATCTACACGTCTGAATGCTCCTATAGCCTTTGTGCTGATAAACCGTCCAATCGATCGACTGTTTGTGCTAACTTTCTTTTTGGTACCATTATTGTAAACAAGCCAGTCTACGCTGTCTCCATTTACTTCAGTAAATACAAAGGGTGTATCATAAAGAAGATCGACATCTCCCTCTTTAATAGCTTTAAGGGCGCACGGTCCAAGGCGGTACTCACCTAAAAATATATAAGAATTAAAAATAGTGTGAGATTTGACATATGCTCTACAATGCAATAGTTGGTAAAACACCAGCTAGTTATGAGAAGCCAGTTTAATTGCCAAGACATGCTCACGGGTAGTGTAAATGATCAATTAAATCTGAATCACATTCTAGCCGTATTTACCTTTATAATACAACTAGTGTCAATTTTCAGGAATTCAAAGTGGATTAGATGTGAATTTTACAATTTTAGCCCAAAAGGGAAATCTGAAAATATGGCTGTCTATTTCCGACTAGTCTATTTTTAAATTCACTTGAATTTTTTTTTTAAATTCTTGATAATTCACACTTTTGTGAAATTAGTTGATTTGAAGACTTTTAGGAGTTTATGAAGAAATGTATTTCTATTTTTGTTAGTCCAGTGATGCAAATGTAAAATAACAGATTAAATTGGCTCTTTGGAATAACAGAATTTTGGTACTCTAAGCCTTCGGTAGATTCTTCCTTTCTCATGTCAGGAATGCTTTAGACTTGAAAAAAGAAAGGAAATCTCAAAGGCTTGTCAATCGAAAAGTCTGTTAGCCCACTAAAAAATGGTATACACGCACTCTCTCTCTTCCATTCGACACTACTGTCGGTCTTTATAAAGTGTTAGAGTGCTCACCGTGGTTGCATTGTAGATTAACTGAAGTAAATAGCATAAAAATCTAATTGGACATTCTGTACTCTTATAGTAAATATTTTTTTAAATACCTTGGCTTGGTTCCTGTGGGGTTGCATCCACGATCTGCCATCCATTGTACATAGAGCCAAGGTCACTTCTTATGCAAAAGGATTCATTCCATACGTGAAAATTCCTGTCCAGAAATATTTGAGTGACAAGACACATTATATTATATACATTATCACCATTTTTTTAATAACTTGAATTCTCCTCCAATTTTTTTTTTTTTTTAGCACTGCTAATTCACCCTACTTAAAAAATTAATGTGACCAACAGAAAGTGACTTTTGTGTCTTTCTGATATTGTCCGCATAGTGCAAGTATGATCATGACTTGTGGCCAGGCTGCCATGAGTACCGACGCAAGATGATTTGTCTCAAGATTAAGTCTAGTTTTGTCTAAGGTCCAGCTTAATGTAAACCACAAAGAAAAATATGTAGAGGACATATACATGTTGGGTTATGGTGGAACCACTGAAATTACATTTGAAAGCTTCAGAGATGTTTTAAAAGATAGAAATGATTTATTCACCGACGCCCACATTGTATTCATTGTTAAAACCAAGATGCTTGAGAGATAACAGAAATGCAATACACTGTAACCTGAAGAGGTAGTCACTTGCTTAGAGTTACATTACACAGCTTGGCTAACACTCAACAGATTGAGTTATCATTTATGCATTTACAGTTGACTATTAGTGGAATTAAAACTTACCATATGCTATCAGTTGTGTCACCTGTTGGGTTTCCATTTTGGTCAAAGTAACGATCAACGAAGAGGTTTACATCTGTGTCATGAGCTGATTCAAAGTTTGTAATCACACGAGTCGGGATCCCCAGACATCGGAGAACTAAGTGAAAAAGCAGGTACAATTAATATATTTACTTCTGCCTCACATATGAATTGTATGCCCTATGCATTATTTATCTATTTATTATGTAACAGTGGCTACCACTTGTATATTACCAGTTTAATTAATTATATATGTTCAGTTTTCATTTTGTTGTATATTTTGTAGTGCTTTATGTGGGAATTAGGCATTGAACAGAAATTAGTTCTAGGACTGCAAAAAGTAAGAAACATGAATCAAAGATCCAACATTTTGTTTTTTAATTTAATTAAAAGCTTGTCATGGCTGCACACCATCTCCGTCACCCCATGTTCTCTAGTTGCTGTTATCTACTACTCAGTCACATAGAGGCTTTACTACTACCAAGCATCAGTATCACAATGCCTGCATCGATTGTGCATCAGGGACAATTTTTGTGAACCAAAAGTAAGCCTCCATTTCTGGTGGCATTTACTGCCACCAGTGTATCGTTACCCCTTTGTAACTAGACCAGTGGTAGGCAACCTCCGGCACCCCAGATGTTGTAGACTACATCTCCCATAATACTCTTACAGTCATAATGTTAATGTAACACATCAGGGAAAATGTAGACCCCAATATCTTATTGCCTACCACTGAACTAGACAATGCAGTTGTCTCTCTTTCTCCAGCTCTATAAAACCACCATACACACCTCAATCAGTGCTCGGTTATTCTACTGCCTCTGTATTGGTACAGATATTGCAATCTCTTTATAATGAATTATGTCACCGCTACACAGATGTTTGAAATGTATGTAGGGTGCTATTACGAGTGATATTCGCACAGGCTATTCCTGCTAACAACAACAACAAAAAAGAAGCTAAAAACAAAGAAACAATGTAATAATTATAAATGGCTTGGGAGTCACAAGGAAATCTGATATTTTCAAGGTTTTAAAACAGACAGGTGACAAGTCAAGCTACTGGCTATATTGCTTTTGTTGTGAAATCAATATCTCTAAATAATAAATTAAGTGAAATGGTGCAAAAGCTAGAAAAGTAATAAAAAAAGGATTGTGGAAAACTTAACTTCCTGGATTCACAGTATATTGCTATTATATGTGGTAAAATAATTGCTTTCAGTAGTATAAACATTAAAGGACCACTATAGTGCCAGGAAAACATCCTTGACCCTCAGGGTCCCCCTCCCGCCCGGCTCTGGAAGGGGGAAAGGGGTAAAAACTTACCTTTTTCCAGCGCTGGGCGGAGAGCTCTCTGCCTCCTCTCCGCCTCCGTTACGTCCCGCCGGCTGAATGCGCACGCGCGGCAAGAGCTGCGCGCGCATTCAGCCGGTCTCATAGGAAAGCATTTACAATGCTTTCCTATGGACGCTGGCGTGCTCTCACTGTGAAAATCACAGTGAGAAGCACGCAAGCGCCTCTAGTGGCTGTCAATGAGACAGCCACTAGAGGATTGGGGGAAGGCTTAACCCATTCATAATTATAGCAGTTTCTCTGAAACTGCTATAATTATGAAACAATGGGTTGAGCCTAGCTGGACCTGGCACCCAGACCACTTCATTAAGCTGAAGTGGTCTGGGTGCCTAGAGTGGTCCTTTAAATTAAAAGCCTAAGATAGCTGCAACTTAATGTGCCACAAGTGCAAATAGTATTGACTGCTCTTTTGGGCAGAATCAAAGGAAATCTGTTTTATTTGTTTAATTGCCGCTAATGGAATCACATATGATAAAATGCATTGAGCTATATAGGACTTCTGTAGATCACAGGACATGTTTGTACCTGGGGACTATAGACCTTTATTTTATTTTGACTAGTCCTGAGAACCTTGATATATGTATTTCTTCGTTATTTATTTTGGAAGCTATCGAGAACAGATTGAGGAAACTAGTTTCATTATAGAAAACCACATGGCCAGCTTCTTTGGGACATGTTATTTCCATGAGTAAGTCGGTGAGATGGCTCAGTGGGCTAATGCATCATCAGAAGAATCTGTTCAACCCTTAGGCGTCGAACGTTCATTCTTCTGAGGTAGATAAAATGAGTACCATTAAATTGGATAATATTAACATCACTTGGATGTTGGGCAAAATTAACATCCTCAGGATGTTACTTGGAAACCATAGTTATCACAATGTACCTCTACTGGTTAAATACTTTGCTATTTTTGATAATAATCTGCGTAGCACATCATCTTGTGAGTACTTATTCTAATATTTTATTTTGTTAACTAGTTTGCTCCTTTGCTTAATTGTTTTAATTAAAAAAAATTATTTATTATATTGACTATACCTAAATACGTCATGTACATTTGGAGTCTACACATCTAACAAACCTGTGCAAAGTACTCCTGCAAATACCCAACACTGTCCATATGCTACTGGGCCATTCTGTGACCAACTGCGAAGAATGGGGACACTTCCATTCCATCTTGATGGACTCACACCATTGCTGTAGTTCCCACTCCAATTTCCTATTACAATTCCTCTGTCATTATTAGAGTTGACCTTGGGGGGAAAAAATGTCAATTAATATACCATTGTCCTACAACCAAGTTATGTTGTATTTCATTGATGATTCTCAAGGTGTTATAAGAAAATAGAACAAGAAGGCAGGCACAACATTTCCATGTTTCATAAGTGTTAATTTACAAATTTGGTTTGATCAATTTTATACTCACCATAGCACTTAACACGCGACATATATACATGGCACTGTTTCTTTGAGATAGATCTTCAAGTTGATTTCTCCCTGCATTTAAACTCTTGTCAAGTATTGCAAGTGTGATGTCTAATATGCCGTCCTCAAACTGTAAGCACAAAAAAGTATTAAATACTTCACTATCAACATAGTTATTTACTAAAGTGAGCATTGTCAGGAACTGAAAGTGAATCCAAAGTAATTTTTTTCTTTAAGGCCAAAATAGCAGAAATGGGAAATGCTCCAAGTTAGCTATGCTTTCACTTTTGCTAGTTTGTACTAAAACATTTTTTTTACCATAAGAGGAGCATAGTAAAACGCATGTACAATGGCTTCTTACAACTACATCAAGTAATGTCATGGATGAACCAGTCAACAAAGGTTAGATCTGTTTTTTTTTTTTACATTGTCGCTTGTAGCAGGGATCTATGCAAACGCAATATTGGTGGGACAGTCCCAATTTCATGGTCCTGTCCCGCCATCCCAATTTAGTTCCCTGGTGTCCTGCATCTAGGGACACCATGGAACTGTACTTGTGCAGCGCAAGCACGTCATTAGATGTGTTTGTTTTGTGCAGTGGGCACTAGGACCCTGCATAAAGTCACTGGTGATACCACTAGAAGGCCAATCCACCAGTCCAAATTATACACCTCCCAATGTTAGCATTGTGCCTGTGCCTGTAAGATCCTAGTCCAGTTAAGCCTGGTCTAACAGGGAGCTGTGGATGGACAAAAAGGCAGGGATAAGACATTCAGTAGGAGATGAAGAGTCTTTGCTGTGGACCTGAGCAGTCATGCTACTATACTGGTAGGTCGGAGAGTTAAGAAACACGAAAGAGCATAAGGCACGGGGTTAAAAGACACACAAGGGATAAGTGGAGGTAAAGAGAAATACAAGAGGTAAACAGGTAAACAGGGTTACCACTCCAATGAAAAAATAAATATATATTTATATATACAAATATAATACATCAATTACAGGTGTCTCATTGAGAAGACTTTGTGCTGTAGCCAAAATACAGCTTGATGAAAAGGGGGCAAGGCAGTTGCGCACAAGCTCAGCGTACCTGCCACCCCGGAAGATAAAGAAAACCTTCTTTGGCTGTTTAAGTGATTATTGTTGTTTCTGTCCCACGTATACAAGTGCAGGTTTCTATTGTAATCACAAATATTGCAGTGACACATATGACAGGCTCCAGACACCTAGAGCACTACAGCAAGATGTTTCTTAAAGTGAAGTAAAAGTGTATAGGAGACACACGGGAGAGAGGAGCATGCAGAACAGAAGAAAACATAGGAGTTAAGGGTATGCGGACAGTCACAAAGAGAGGTGGAGCAACACATTAAAAAATTACCACTCTAGAGTGGTGCCAACACATTATTCAACATTGGGTACCAAATAGATATTCCTCTAGTTTAGAGTTATTATTATTAATAATGAATATTAAGACACCTTACAATATTTTTTTATGAAGCATTTGAGTTACCTGACCATAGTCCCATTGTCTACTTGACTGATTATTCCAATTTCCAATGAAAACGAGTCCTGTTTCATTGAGAACATACTCTACCCGTTCAGCTTCGTTAGTCATAAACACTTCATCATCTGCAAAGGCAATAGAATATACAAGTTAAAAGGCTTATCAGAGTTATTGTGTCACTAGAATAATACCATCAAAAACTTAAATAGGGGCCTCGTGGGGCGAATGTTGTCTGCTCAAGGTCTGGTCAATAAATACCGAGCAACATATATACAACAGTGAGAATGCAGTTTTTTGGGAACAATCCAAAATAGATCACTAGAGTCATTTCATTGAAGTTTAGCTCTGTGGAAATTGTTTGCTAATATAATTGGTAATATTTACAGGGTTATTCACTAAAGAGAGAATTGTCATGAATTAAACGTGGATTCCAATAAATTTCAAATATAAGGCCAAAGCAGCTGACATAGAATCACATCTGACCGGAGATTTTTTTGAGTTTAGGCCTTTATCCCTTAAAGTGGCTTTGTTATTATCTGGGGGTGTTTGCATGATTTGCAAAGACTCCCGACGGTGGCATCATAGCTGCTTGTCTAGGAACGTAGGGGAAGGTGAGTTATACGTATCTGAACCTGCTGTAGTACCGTAGTATACAATGGTACCTTTATTATCGGACTAACGTAACGTAATATTTTTAAAAACAAGTTTCCTCCCTTCCTCAAATCTAAAGCAATCCCTCCGTAGGTTTTGCTTTCCATCCAAATAAATGTATTATGGCCATGTTTACCTATTGTAATTTGAAAAAAAAAAATCCTACAAACTTATTGTCATACCTGACGCCCATGCATTAAAAAGCACGTAAAATTCTCCAAGACTCTGGGTAAAAGAACGTCCTCCACTTTTCATCTCCAGTCTCATTGTGTAGTGTCCAACAATGGTATTGGCTGGAATATTGATTGCAACGGTCAAAGTACTGCCAGTACTTGATGAGGTGGCACTCCAAGCTGTTCTGCTACCTGACTGGGAAAGTGGCATTACATTCCGAGTATTCTGTGATTCCGATGGAGAAGGACCTGCCAATAAAGCAACATTTTAACTGGATATCAAACTTTTAGGAGGTATATGTAAAAGTATTTGAGCTGTGAAGAAGTCATGACACGATAAAGATAATAATATGGTGAAAAATCATGTTTTCGATTCTTAGATTTTAATGGTTGATTTATCTCACTATGCAATAAAAAACTACATTGTGACCTAAACTGTGCATAAAGAGATCCATCAATGTTTGGCAGTACTGGGACACACATGCCCCAGCCTGCCTGAAATTAATGGAAGTCACAATACTAAGACAAGTTGAAGTTTACTACGATGTATTCACCTCTCACTAAGTTCCTGGATAAGGCACTGGGAAGAGAATCATAAATAGAGTTATTTATGAAAGAGAGAATTTAAAGTGAATTTCAAATAAAAGTAGTAACTGGTCTGAAAGCAAAGCTAACTTAGAGAACATTTCCAGTTTGGCATTGCCCGGGTTTATGTACTAAAGTAAGATTTCAAAGTGGATTTCAGATTTTAGGCTAAAGTAGCTGAACTTGAAGCATAGCCGTCTTAGAGAATTTATCCAAATAGGCTATTGTGACCTCAAATTTGAAATACATGTTGAATTCTCACTTTGGTAAATACTTGACAATCAATCGTCTATCATTTCTCCACACTGCCCTGATTTTGGTTGGGACAATTTCAATTTTATGGTCCTGTTTCCACTATCCCAACTTCCATGGTGTCTTCCAAGTTCCATGGTGTCTTCTAAGTTCCATGGTGTCTTGTTTTTGAGATACCTGAGAACTGTCCCCAATATGTATAGTGTGAGTGCATCATGATACAGTGATCTCTGCCTCCAGTGGGCCTGAATGATGGACATACAGCCATTCACGCCTGGCTGATTTGTCATTAATTCCGGAGGAAGCTGGTCACCTCGCTGGTCCACCCCTTTACCCCCTGCCACCAACGACCCTCTATTTTCCTTTGTTCTTATATATATATATATATATATATATATTTTTTTTTTTTTAAATATAGATAAGTTAAAGTAAGAGCTACTTTTTATGGGGGGGCATGATCTTGGGAATTTTTTGTCAACAGGCAGACCTAAAGAAACATTTCATTTGAGTTGTTAAGCTAATTCACCAACAATCAATCAGTTGAAAGAATCCCACAGAAGGGCAAACTGACACCATGAACAGAGCAGGACAAAATATCTGCACTAAGATATTGAGATCCAGTTCAAGGAAGAAAGTATATACATATTTATATATAGGAAAGGGGGTGTATAGACAGAGGAGGACAAAATGTCTGCACCCAGGTATCCATGAGATCCATGCTTAGATATGTACTAAATATATATATAAAAATAGGAAATGGGGTGTAAAATCATGAAGGGAGATAAGGAAAGGAAAATAAAAAAATTAAACTAAACATGATATGGTAGCTTTAATCCTGATGGCGCAACCTCTGGAGGAGAGCTGTTAATCAATACAACATCGCATCCTGCCTTCCTCAACTATACACAGACTCTTTTACTGTCCCCAAACATGCATAATCACCACTACCATAACCTGTCAAGTAGTTCACACCATCCGTTATATTTTCGGAATCACATGCCAAGAACCATTTTGACAAAGAATACAAATGAATACAATACATTCATGCTTAGAACAGCCAACCAGTTACATCCACAAAAAGCACAGGTGTATTGGAGTTGTATTCATTACCTATCTCACTGATGAAAGTGAGACTGTCTCCACTGCTCAAAGATCTGCTGAGTCCTATAGAGATCTGTGCACTCTGTCCTCTCCGTAGGATGAGTTTATTGCTAAAAAAGTCTTTGGTCCTGTGAGCTGTAGCATTGGCTGTTGGCCGAAGATCCCAATTTATAAGTCTTAGACCTAAAAGAAAATAAACAATAATGTTTAAGATATTTTCTACATTTATTTTTTTGAAGAGCGTTTATTTAAGAAACAAAAAAAAACAAACAAAAAAAACCAACACAACAATATTTGGAAATGTGAGCTGAGAGCTAAAAAGCATCAATCTAGCTACACGGTTTATATTTTGGTAACAGTTCCTGACTTTTCTTCGGAGATCTGAAGAATTATGGATGTGCAAGCGCGGGAGTTTAATTCTCGATTTGTGTTATTGATTTGCGTGTCTATAAACAAGGCAGGTTAAGACAATTATTCAGAAGGCCTGGAACTGCTTCAGGAAAAACACAGTAGTAATTATCCTGTTATCACATCCACAGGGAATATTTAAGAAGGTAAGAATATATTGCTCCTTCTGTCATACATTCAAGTCCGTACATGATATGCAGATGAAACGTTACCTTTGAATTACTAATAAAGTTAAATAGATGCAAATGTAACATATATTACCTCCTTCATATCTAAGTCTTGGGGGGAAAAAAGGATCCTCAACCATCTTTTTCAGTCTTATTTGTGAGACCTAAATTATTAGGTCACATTTTGTCAGCCAGGATAACAAGCAGCAGGCCATATGGAGAGTGGACTGAGGAAAAGATCAAGTTTTCTGGATAAGGTCATTACACTTAGCCTTTGATTTCTCCAACGTGTCCCTCGTTTCTAGGAGCTCCATGTTGTTTGTGTGTCTGAATGTATAACAGAGCTCCACAGCAAAAATACTCACAGTAATGCAGGTCCGGCGCTACCTGTAAGGCGGACTAGCCAGCCGCCTAGGGTGCCCCTTGGGAGGGGGCGCCACCAGGAGCGCCAGCCCCGCTCATGCTGCAGCCGCCCGAGCGGTCTGTAGAGAGCCTCAGGCGGCTGCAGCTTTGCCCGGGCGGTGCGTCCATGAGGGCGGACCACACCGCCCGGGCGCACCCTGAGGAGAGGGGCTGACAGGAGGGAAGCGCTGAGCGCTCCCTCCTGTCACTCCCTCCCTGTAGCTTAATGTAGTGGTTCTGGTGTCCATAGCCTGTCCCTGCAGGCCTTTTCATGTAAACACGGCGGCACTGCAGCACTGGCGTTAGTTAACATGGCAGATCATATGGGTGGGGCATTGTGATGTCACATGGGGGGGGCGGCAAACTTTACTTTTGCCTAGGGCGGCAAAAATCCTTGCACCGGCCCTGCAGTAATGAGTCTTTCACTACAATAAATGCGTTTTAAAATCACTCTGTGTAAATAAGATACATTGTTCTTGTCCTAAACTGCATTTTAGTTGCATTCATTGTTTATTAGTAAGCCACCGAAAACTTATCTGAACACCCCAACCCTTGTCCACTCTCCCACTTATACCTCTAAAATTAAAATGTCCCTCATTGTCCATTTAAAATGTTGGGATGTATGTCTTGACTGCCTGTGTGCCAACATACATTTAGTGAAAGCATTTATTTTATTAAAATTCAATACAATGCTATGTTTGGTTTAATTAGTTTGCTTGGTTTAGACTTGTGTTGTAATGTAAAAAAAAATAAAAAATTTAATAAATATTTTCAATAAAGCTATATATATATATATAACTTTATTTTACATGAAGTTGTTGCACACATACAGTTATCATTGCTATATTCTGCTATCCACATTTCCTAGGCATACCCATAAATTGGATATGATTATTTATATTACTGTACATTTAAGTGTACCTTTTTTCCCCGAACCTGTTTTAAGTATTGTAAGAAAAGGGATAGAGTATAATCTTTAATTCTGCAGTCCAGAACAATCAATATTTATTAAACAAAAAATCTTTAAAATATATATTTTTAGGGTTTCCATAAAAGTCGTCTTTGCACACAATATTCTACTCAAATATCAGCTAATTCACATATTTTCAAATCAAATTTTTCAAATAAATGATGTAATTTTGGATATTTAGAAATTTCCTTAAAATAATACTAATTAGTTCATTTCTGAAACCAAAACCTAGTGTACATTAGGCGCTGCTAGATTTTGCAGAGTCAAAAGATATGCTGGTACTATGTCCTACATACAATAACTAGGATGGAAAATATTGAAATTCTGGTCATTTGCATGTTTGCAGGTTAAGGGAATGAGGAACAGAGAATTCCAAGGGGTACTTTGACGTAGTTGGTAGGCCTATGCAATGTATGATCATATACCCCCATTATTTTTTGCCTAGGTGAGGTGTTTTTAAATAAAACTATTACAATCTCTAAGATTTGAAATCATTGTTTAGTGAATAAGCGAGTGCGCTGGATTCTGTGTTTTGTATATTTTGGCCCCAGCAGCACCCTATAATGTATGCATGTTCAGGTGAGTGCAGCCCTCTTGGTTTCTTTATATATATATATATATATATATATATATATCCTGATGAAAGTCCACAAGGAGGACTGAAACGTGGATCCTGTTTTAAATGCTACAATGCCACTATATATATTTCTCTTTTTTTTCTTAATATGCAGAGGTAGAAAAATATCACGTATAATCTTCTTGGTATATAATTATAAATAAATTATTTGTGTCAAGCTTATTATTATAAATGAATATATGGTATATAAAGAGGCAAATATCCCTAGATTGAACATCCCGTGTCTTAGGCCAATATACACACCAGTCTATAAGACATTCATTTATTTAATATTAACTTTACATACTGCTTTTTTCAGATTTCAACTTTACATATTTTTCCACCACTATGGGATTGTAATAATATTTCTAATAAAGAAAAACAACTTATGTTATTAGAAAATAATTCTAAAAGTTTCAACCTGTAGGATGCTGCAAAGTACTTACTTGTCATTTTGAGATTTCTTGAAGCCCTGAGATGATCGAGGTGAATGAATTAAGGTTTGCGTTTTTTGCTGCTTATATCTCAATTATCTTCTCTTCCTTGTATGTAATACTTATACATTTAATTGAGATGGGTGGAGTTTTTACCAATCATTTTAGATGTTGCTCATATATGTTGGTGTTGCTCAAGGCAGGGTGTGTACTACTGGGAAGAATTTTGAAAGTACAATTATGATAACCTCTCTGAGGACATGCCGCTGAAGAATATTCAGAAATTAGATTTTATTTTAGGGTCTTTACTGATACCCAAACAAAAAACTAAATGTTGGCATTAAAACATCAAAACTTCACAAAATCCTTTTTTGTGGGGTAATTGTAGATAAGGGTTGGGCACACTTTAGGTGATGCAATATCTCCTGTAATTTAGTTAAAACTTGTTGAGGTTAGCATGTGTCAAAAAAAAGTATCAGGTCAATCAGATCAATTTAGGATGGCCTTTTTTAAGAAGAAAAGTTTCCAGAATAGGCAGTAACAAACAGAATTTGATGGAAATTGTGCAGGCTCTTCCAGCTCCCCAATGGAGTTTAACTCCGTGAAATGGAGTTGGACTTCAACAACCTTTGCAGGAGGATGTCTATCGTCTTCAAATTCCGCATAGGAAAGCACTGATTCAATGCTTTCTTATGGGAAGCTTTAATGTGCGCTCGCCATGCATGCTCATTAGGTCCCCCCATCGCCGTGACGTTGCTCTAAAGAAGTTAATATTTTTAACTCTTTCATGCCCGGGGGTGCTGGGGGACTATTTAAACTAGAGACAGGGGCACTGTAGAAATAGGAATACAGGTTTTTATTTTTTTCATTTTTATTTTTTACAATCTTTATTTGGGTTGTGCAGTGAAACAAAATATTAAAAGTAACTGTATTGTTTTTTTTTCCTGAGTAGAGAACAGGATGATATCAACAATGTACATAACAGATTATATGGTAATAAACACGTTCCATGAGATATCTGCCCTGATATAATGATGCACTACCCGACCTATAAGGTTTGGTATGAGAAAAAAGGAAATAAACGGCAGACCAATGAGGGCAACAAGCTTATAACCACCGAGGAGACATATGCATAGCTAGGAATGTGGGAACAGAAGGTATGGTGACATTAAAATAAAATTGCAAAACAAACATTTACCGTGAAAATAAAAGAAAAAGATACACGAGAGAGGATGTCTCGAGAAGTAGGTGCTGGGGTCACTAACAGCATGTGGTATTATATCATGAAATAACAGGTTGACTTTGATGCCACACATATAAACTACTTAGGGACTTGGGTCTACCACACATTTCTAATTGCAGCATCATATTTGCCTAGTTAAAGGAATGCCTGTGTGCACTCTTCCCTGACAGATATGCTCCACAAATCAGCTTTGCCCTTTGGCTCATCCTCTGATTTGGCCCACGTTGCAAACTAGAGATTTCCCCATTATTCCCCATCACTGCTGCCCGATTTAGGCCCTTCCCCAGGCAATTAAATCAGTTTTAGTTGATAATAGCATGCCACCCATAATGAAGTTGATTAGAGACAAACATTCCACCCCCTTGGGAACTTTTAGCTATCACCAATGAATCCACTTTATGTGGACCTTTGTTCTTCCCTGATAGAAACCTAGGGAATTGATAAATTTTAAAATCCGATGTCAGCCAAAGACTACGGTCTCAAGGCCATTGTCCCAAATTTATGCATTCATCCAGACAACTTCTACCAGCAAACCTCTACCCTTTGAAAAATTCTGGGAGTCGGATTTACATATTTATTAAGCTCCTTCAGACTGGTGCCAGATTTGTCACAAGGTTCAGTCCTCTTTTGTGAGCCTCCTCATACATTAAGCCTCCTGCAATATCCTATCCCGATGATACAGTACTCCCTCTTATATTCTATATACCCTTCTGTAATCATTCTCTGCTGGAGATGCTTTTTCGAGGCTGGTGCTGTTAAGCACATTTGGTGTTTTTTTCCCCTTATTACAGGGATCAGTTAGTGACTCTTCCTCCACTTTATCTGCTGGGAGTTGAGGGTAATGACAAGCCTCTAAAACATTATCTTATTACATGTGCTTTGGGAGCAGAGGGTAACATAAATAAATAATGGGTAAGCTGCTCAAATCCATGTAAGAAATATATGAAAGGGCCAAGGGTAGTCCACGCCATTGTTACCAATATACTGAATCGGTTTGGAACCCAAGACTTTGGACCTATTAATTTGAAGCCTAAATACATCCATAATTTTATTCTGTTGCATTCTGCCTAGAATCTGACATGATCCCCAGGTGCGCCTCAAAAGAATAAAAACTCTTTGAAATGGCGATTGAATTTCTATATGTGATTTTGTATATAATTATGAATGTAAAATTAATTCTTTAATATTTATCCGTTCATAATAATCTTAAATAATGACCTCAAAACCATTATCAATGGTACAAGTTTGATACTTCCTGGCTGAGATTTTAAAAGCCTGCAAATTATTAGCACGACATCAGCTTTACACCTCGCCTTTGGCTCCATTCCAAAAAATAAGCCATCCAGGAAGATTAAAAATAACTGTCTGTCTCATGCAGATCTAATCACCCTTAGTAACTTATGGGTGTCTATCACCCTGCCCTGAGGTGTCCTGTGCCTACAGTGTAATTTCTTAACTCTTTATTGTCTGTCAGCCAATTACATGTTTGACGTTTTGGGTTTGTGTCTTTCATCCTAGCACCTTTGTGGGTCTCTTTCTTCCCCCTCAGTCCCTCTTTGTGTCTCTTCCCCCAGCACCTTTGTGTATCTCTTTCTCCTCCAAACTCCTTTGTGTGTCTCTTCCCAATCCAGCCTATTCGTGTGTCTCTTTCTCCTCATCAGCCCCTTTGTGTGGCTCTTTGCCCCCCCAGCCCCTCAGTGTGTCTCTTTGTCCCCCCAGTACCTCTGTGTGTCTCTTTATCCTCAACCCCTTTGTATGTCTCTTTATGCCCTTCCCCAACTCCTCTGTATGTCTCTTTCCAGCACCTTTATGCTTATTTTTTTCTCCCCAAGCCTTCTGCTGGTCTATGTGACCCCCCACAGCCCTGTGTGGGTCTCTTTTTTCTCCCAAGTCCCCCAGTGTGTCGCTTTGTCCCCCCTAGCCTCTCTGTGTGTCTTTTTGTCCAGCCCCCAGACCATCTATGTACCTCTTTATCCTTCTTGTTCCTTTGTGATCCCCCCCATCATGCCACCATCCCATCATGCCAGTCTTTGAGGCAGTATCTCAGCTCATTTTTAAAAGCAGGCATTCCAGGATATTCAAAATGGGGTATTTTGAGTTGTTAGGTCTAGCCACTTTATAATGGCTGAGCGTAACATAAACAGGGACAGATCAAGATATCGGCAACCAAAATTCGGTACAGGCAGCTGACAAAGAGTAAGCATGACAAGAAAATTCAGGATTCTGAAATAAAAATAAAAAGATTATATAGATATATATGGTGGGTAATACATTGCTAAACACAAATACACAGCCCAGTCAAGCCATAAGAATTGCTTTTCCCACAGAAATCTCACTTTAACAGTGCTCTCACTCCTGCAAGGGATTCTGGATAGGCATATGCAAATGATCTCAACAAAAAAAACAACACATTTTTGCCTCATAATTCTTGGAGTATGTGTCTGCTGTATTTAACAGCTTTGAAACACAACTCAGGAAGAGGAGCAAAGCCAGTAAACCCACTCATGGACAGCCGTTTCGTTGTTAATGAAACTCATCAGCATGAGGTTGGTTACTGGTTTCCTATGGAGGCTTGGTGTTACTTGTGAAGTACATACCAATAGAGTTGTGATGGGGAAAAAAGTGTGGATGAAAAAAATCATACATATATATGTATTTGTTCTGAAATAATAGTTTAACTCTGTATGAATTTTGTAAATAATTCAGACGTGCATTGGCCAGGTTGAGATGGGAAGTATGGACAATTATATGTACATTCCCTCCTAACTCCTCTTTTGTAGCAGATGCTTCAGTTTTTCTGGGGTGACTTTTTGTAGGCTGTGAGGGACATTGAGGAGAGGTTAGGTGGCTAGCGAAATAAATGTGCTTATGTCAGGCAAAAGCATCAGGGTTAATTCCTGGAAAGTGTATTGCTTTGCTGTGGCTTCTTTTTTGTACAGTATACAGGAATGATATACTACAAAGGTCTTTGTTTTACAATGAACCAGATATAGCTGAATACACTGGTCAGACAAATCTACTCTTCCAAAGAAAAAACAAGTTACCTGCGCTCTTCCCAAATCCCTATGCATATTTAAACAAATGGAGATTATTTAGGTACTCCAGTAGCCATGAGAGGGATGCCCACCTCCAACGTCAAGGCAAACTTCTTAAGTGGGACCTACACTGACTATTCACCTTGCTTGCTTGAGCTTCTGGCAAAGATGTCTCTAATGAAACAGAGAGGGGTATTTTTATAACCCCCTACATGCTTATTAACCCGTGGGGAACGCATGGGGTAGACGGCAGCATTGTAACATAGCTGTGTGATACAAAAGCAGGGCTCGAGTCCTGCAGGAACGCATGGGAACGGCGTTCCTGCACTTTTTCCAAAGCAGGAACGCCGTTCCCGTTACCTGTCCTGCAGGACCGGCCCTGCTCCCTGCACAGAGGGGCCGTCACATGCTGTGTTCCCTCTCCAGCTATAACTCTCGCGAGACCCGCGGCTGTTACCATGGCAACGCTCCGCACAGGCGAGTCTCGCGAGAGTTAGAGCTGGAGAGGGAACACAGCGTGTGATGGCCCCTCTGTGCAGCGGCTGGCTCCCTCCACCGGACCACCAGGCGATCTCCCCCCTCCCTGACAAGGTAAGAAGCAGGGAGGGGGGGAATAAAATAAATATTAAACACATAATGTAAAAAAAATGCTCCCCCCCCCCCACATCATCCAGCACTCACTCACACATCATCCAGCACTCACTCACACACCCATCATCCAGCACACACTCACACCCATCATCCAGCACTCACACACCCATCATCCAGCACACACTCACACCCATCATCCACACTCACACACCCATCATCCAGCACTCACTCACACAC